CTCCAAAGCATTCATAACCACATAAAAGAGCAAGAGGAAAGCAGGAGCGAATATTAGACGTTCCAGCAGAAGGCGCTTGATCAGGCAGTATGGGACAGTGTTAGGCAACAGCACCTCCAGGAGATGGTAGAAGTAATGACTGACTGGACCTGTGATAAAAAGTCTGAAAAAGAACAATTAAAAAGAGACATTTGAAACATTTGTAACTCATTTAACAGTCCTGGTATTAAATATTTTTTGTAAAATGACTTCATGTGTACTGTGACATGTATGTGTAGTCTTTGAAATATGTAAAACATAAATATTTTACATGATTATGGGGTGTATGTAATCAAAATGCATTGTCACTCTACCCAAATATTGCAAAGTGTACAGGTCCCAGAACATTGATTTTCTTTTTTGGGCTATTTTCTTTGTTGCTCTTCCTGTACTCCAAAGCTTGAGACAGTAGATTTCCCAAAGCAGAGAGAATACCACTGCAAGAAAGAACAAAACTGTCATTGTATCATTGAACCCACATGGCCTTGCATCTAAAGATGAAGACACTCGTCTTTCTGTGTTTGGTCCAAAAGTGAGTGTTACTTTTAACTGGACTTGATTTCCCCACCCCCCCAAACAACCAATAGAAAAACACAGTTCAAAGTCCTTCATGGCTTAAGCTAAAAAAAAAGTAATGCATAAAGGATATCTTTATATATGACTGCTACTACTACAAAGCATTTTATTAATAAGTTTAAGAAGGATTTTTTTTTTGCTTATTGTTTAGTGATTTTAATTCGTTTATAAGTATTTTATATAAAATAAAAATATTTTTAAATATATAAAAAAATATTTTTCAATGGTATATTTTTCAACTTAAACTAATGTATAAAATTATACATTATTCTTAGTTATTATATAAATATCTTGCTCTCACTGTTGTACACGGAAGCAGCTCTGGGTGGATGACGTATGGAGGTTGGCTTTGCGCATGCGCCGCTCAGAAGTGACGAACGTGGAAGCGCAGGGGAGAGATCAAAACAAAACACCGGTCACTAATTAGAAGTACAAAACGAGGATTTGTAAAGAAGAATGTCGGAGGATTTCGATATAAGCCAAGAGGAGACTGGTTTTCCTTTGCTAAAGTAAGGAAACTTTGCTTCTGGAACAAACGTTGGTTTTCACGAGACTTACCGGCGCAAAGCTGACCTCATACGTCATCCATATTCTTAGTTATTAATTATATAAATATTATAGTGCTGTCGAACGATTAATCGCATCCAAAATAAAAAATTTTCATTTACATAATATATGTGTGTACTGTGTATGTGTAATCTATTTATTATGTATATATAAATACACACACATACAGTATATAGTTTGAAACTATTTACATGTATATATATTTATATTGCATTAAACAGCTTGAAAGAGGGTGAGTAATTTGTGGGCTAATTTTCATTTTTGGGTAAACTAACCCTTTAACTTTCTTAAGTTGATCTGCATATTCTTTATAAAAAAAAATTTTGTTCTCTTCTTGTGCATGTCTCAGAAGTTCAAGATAAGCTTCAGCACGGAGTAAACTTGAAGGCCGTCAGATAAAACATTATGAATGGACATTAAAACCTGTTGAGCCATGAAAAGCTGCTTTGTTTCAAGGAAGAAATGAGTTTCCAAATAGATAATAACATTCTGCTCAACAAAAACTTTTATTTTGGATGCGATTAATTGCGATTAATCGTTTGACAGCACTAAAATATTATTATTAAATGATGTACTCACTGATCTCATGTTTCCCTGATATATTAATAAAGTATGAAATTATGAAATAAATAATAAATATATAATAACTGTATTAATATAAGATTGAGTGTTAATTATCATTATCTTACATTAGTTGCATTTCACAATTCATCGGTGTAAATTTAACAACTAGTAGAAATAGTAAACTATCTAAATTCTACCATGATCAGAACTAACAAGAGATTCTGTGACTAACAAGAAAAAAACTGCTTTTATGATTTTTGTGAAATGACAATAAACTGCTGGTATATTAGCTTTTATGTTCTGTTTTGAGCATAGCAATTAAAAAACTGAATATATTCTACTTGTCTAATATCACTGCAAGCAGAATTCAAAGTAACTTTAGATGTAGTATTGTTACATGATCAGGGTGTAATGTTTTGAGTATATTCCTTTATAATAATTGGTTAGTGGTTCAACCAAGACAATTACGATCAGCGTGGTAACATTCATTAAACCTAACTTAAGTGAATTTCCCCCCAAAAATCTACAGCTAGCCAACTAGCTTTAACAAAAATGTAAACTGACCTCGTAACCGATTTGGTGATGATTGGATATTTCTTTAACAAACTCAAATACTGCTGCAGTACCCTCGTCAGAAAAGAGGAATCTCGGATAAGTACACTTTGCGTTGGCATCTTCAGTTTAGTTTACTAGTACAACGTCTGTGCACTTGGGTCATGAGAGCTCGGTGTTTTTTAACAAAGTGCAAATCGAACGTAGCGTGCGTGGTCTGAACGTGAACGTCATAGAACAGCGGGCTCTGCGTAATCCTATTGGCTTACTTCTACATGACCACGCCCTAAAGACAACGTGCTGTCTCTTAAAGAGACAAGCCAGACCGATTCTTAAAGGGACAGAACATCTTGTAATTTACTCGCCCTCATATTGTACCGTTCCCAACCAGTACACACTAATATCATAAAAATATACAATTGTGCAAATAGCATCATGTACAATCAACATAGAACAAGGAATTTACAGAATAACACTGGAAATGGATGTACACTGAAATATGTCAGCAGAAAATCTATTTGGTAAATACTCAGGATTTAGAATAGGGCTGCACGATAAATCGCATGCGATATTTAACGCGCATCTTGTCAGTAATGTATCGTGAAAAGCGCTGTACAAATAAACTTGACTTGACTTGACTTGACATGGAGCAGCATTAACTACACAGAGCCGTTGTTCACCGACAAGCTGCGCAAAACATGCGTAAAATATGATCGTGGTTTTGCGCAGCTTGTCAGTGAACAACGGCTCTGTGGAGTTAATGCTGCTCAATGTGAAAGCCCGCAGGTGATGGAGATTTACCGCTGATTAAAGAACCGGCTTTACTGACAAAATGCACGTTAAATATCGCATGCGATTTATCGTGCAGCCCTAATTTAGAATATGGATTGCATTCCCATATTCTTGCTAGGTTTCCCTTCTAAGTATTCACTAAAGATAAAATGCCATGGGATATGTCCATTATACAACAAAAACACAGGATTCATAGGAAACCTGGGGGCTGTTTCATAAAACAAGTTTACCAGACAAGCCAGGCTTATTTCAATTAGTCTGACTTATTTTGAACCAAAGCAACTGACAATAAGTCAGACTAACTGAAATAAACCTGGCTTATTTGGTAAACTTGTTTAATGAAACAGGCCCCTGATCTACATGTAGACACGCAACACCTGATGAGGATACATCCCACGATTTTGCATTCTCCCTTAATTACCCACAAAATGTGAAACAAAAACAACTTAGTGATTTTTACGTCTTACAAAAGACCTTTATATGCAAATTGCATAAATATATTATTATTAACAAGAGATAATTAATTGACAAAGACACATTATTAATAAAAAACTGCATGATAAACCATGTCAAATGTACTTAATACATAACATGGTATTAATAGATAATTAGCTTAATGAGCAAGCCAACAATTCTAGGTCAATTTGCAACAAATCATCGTGAAATGTAGTTTTTCTAACAAAAAACCGGTTCAAATCTCTGTGTGAATCCCTATGTCAGTGACAACAATGACTCATGACTGGCATCATTCTTACGCTCAGATAACGATTTAGTGGTTTTCTAATACAACAACTGCCATAGACGCTGAGCAAGATTAAGGTGGAAACTATGATATACAGAGTCCTCGTCTTCCCTCTCTCTGTGTCACAAAGAGCGATCAGAAACAACATGCACGCCAAACTGCATGCACAGGGATGCACAGTTGCACTCGGCCGTAGTAGCATGGCCTGGAATGGAGAGAAGCGAGGATTAACGCTCTAGCTTTGAACTAAGAATAAGTAACCCGGGTCAGCTGAGACGCTACTCTTCCACCCTCAGACCGGGCCTTTGCACTCGTTCGTAAAAGAGCAGATATGCGCTGGAGGAGAGCGCCTCCTGAAGGCTGGCTTTCCTAACCGAATCATCAGACACCCAGAGCCACTGGGAGCTAAAAGGAGACGTTCCACGGGGAGCGGCAGGGCAGCGGCGGTAAGTGACAAAGTGTCCAGAGTGCATGTCGCCATGATGAACCAGGACGGCCGTCAAGCGGAAGAGATACTCTGAGCTGCTAGAGTGAGGAGAAAAAAAAAGGTAAGTTACCATATGAAGTAAATTGAAATAGACTACATTCCCTGTAAAGCATGCATGGATGTATCTACCTGTAGTTATAAGTGAGGTTGAGCTGTGAGCTCAGTCCTGGTGAGTGTAGAAAGATGGAGGGAAAGGTTCCATTGGACAGTGGCTTATTGTTGTTACAGTGTTCTGAACGGCGTTTGCACTGACGGCTTGGGCCCGCCATCGCTGCTTGCAGCTATATTTATTATTATTATATTAAACAGTAAAAGGATTTCAAGAATATTACATTAGTTTTACAGATGGAGTAAGTTCATATTCACAGATGTAAACGACAGCATTCTTAGGACACTAAAATATTATTTTATTTTGTATATGTTCTATATAATAATAATATAATTATTAATTATAATTTATTATTATTATTATTAATAATTAAAATAAACATTATATTTTGAATATATTTTATAGAATAAAATCAAAATTCAAATAAAAAAATCATAATAATAACAACAATAGAAACAACAATTATTATGATTATTATTACTACTACTACTTCTACTACTATAATTAATTAATTACCTCATTTTTTATTATTAAAAATTCCAAAAGTATTGCAAGGATATTTGATTGATTTGACTTTAAATGGAGCAAATCCATATTCACAGATCAAAACGACAGCATCACATAACCACTGGGGAAACAAAAAAGAAAAAAAAAAGCTCACATCACTTACCAACACCATTAGCAATGGTTTTGTCTTTTGGGTCTCCGGCAGCTTTGGGCTTATTTGTTCTGCTGGTGCTCTGGAGGTTCTGACCAGCAGTACAATGTTTGTATCGATCCAGAGACAAATATTCTGTAAACTGAACATGCTCTTGTCTCTTAATGGGAGTGCCCTCTTTAGACCACGTCAATCTCTGCAGATGGATGCAGAGGCACTGAGGCAACTAAAGGTGAAAATACACACACACACACACACAAACCAACAGGAGGTTATTGAAGAGTGTCAACTGTCAGTGTTTAGAAACGTTTGCTGGTCTGAATGAAAGAATAACAATCTACCTTTCCAAGTTTCAGCTGCTTGACAAATGTTGTCCTCTGACTCTCAAGGACTTCTCCATTTACAAGCTCTCCAGCCTGTTGCTACAAAGAGACAGAGAGAATCAGCTCAGTAAAACTCAGAAATTTCAGCAAATAAATAAGGTACAATGGTACTATAGTAACTTGTCCTGCTAAATATACACATTATACCTTGGTACAGTTTTCACACTCCACTTCTTTGATGGTTTCCGAGGAGATGAAATGCTGGAGACACTGGTCCAAAGTAACTGGTCTGCCCTGATACACGTGAATACAAGTGACGCAAACTATATACATATCTTTGTCTGTAAGATACTAGCTGGATAATATGACTTCAACTGGGATATTTTAATGTGTAGATTAGCCTTCTACATTAAGTACATGTGGTATTACAGAACAAGTTAACTTACCCACTGTACTGACGGGATAGAAAGAGACAAGCTGTCGAAAGAATCATAGTGCACAGGACTCTGAAATCAAAAACAGACAGGCTTGACAATTCCATTCTTTCAATAAAATGCTGTAGATTGAAATCATAAATATTTGTTTAAAAAAGTCTGAAAAAGATCACCTGCTGCTCACAGCGTTTACAAGCCATATAACTTGTTAACCGTCCATGAAAAGGGTGCCGAGTCCTCCATAAACTTGGAATAGGATGTAATGGACCTGAATAAGAAAAATACTAAATTACTAAATGCTAAAAAAAAAACTGTTTAATGTTTAAAGAATGGAGTCTTCATTTACCTCCACTTCTGCAGCTTATGTTTTTTTCTTTTGACTCCACAGATTTCTGAAAGCATTAACAGTAGAGAATGTCTGTCTAATTATTAACTCTTTAGTTTACAAACGATCTTTTGGGTTCTAATACTGCATTAACAGTGACCGTTCATGTTTACCTCCAGTGTTTGCATGTCGAACAGGTGAGCGACTCTGGGTTGGTGTTCCCGTTCCTCCTCTAATGATGATGTGAGAACATGAAAGAGCTCATGAGCATCCTGAAGAGAAAATGCAAAAGTAACAGTCATTTTTATGTTAATGATTTAAAAAAAAAAATCCAACATTTGAGCTAAGGAACGTGAGAGTACTTCGTCCATTTTAGGTGGACTTTTCCTTTTTTAAAGGGGTCATATGATGCGATTTCAAGTTTTCTTTTCTCTTTGGAGTGTTAGATGTTCGTGAATAGATAAGATCTGTAAAGTTGCGAAGACTAAAGTCTCAAACCCAAAGAGATATTCTTTATAAAAGTTAAGACTCGTCCACGCCCTCCTAAAATGGCTCGTTCTAACACGCCCCCACATGTCTACGTCATGATGTGGGAAGATTTGCATAACACCGCCCAAATGTTCACGCTAAGAAAGAAGGAGTAACTTTATTGTTGCTGCCACCGCTATGCTGTGAAGACGCTGTTTCTCGTTGCGAAAGCGAAACTACTTTGTTTGGTTTTCCAAAAGAGGACAGGACTAGAATTCAGTGGTTAAGTTGTATTTACAACACTGTTCCAGGACACTTCAACCCAAATATTCAGATGTGTGCAGCACATTTTATGGAGGACTGTTTCCTGATTCTGGTAGAGAATACTACAGT